CCCAACTTCACGATGAAGGGGCAGCTGATTGTCAATAAAATTTCATTCAGAGTCAATTTCAACTTCACAGCGAAGGATATTGGACTCGAGACAACACAAGTTCAACTTCACAACGAAGGGACGGCTGGTTGTCAACAAATAATTTCCCGGTTCCAGAGCCAATTTCAACTTCACGACGGAGGATATTGGACTCGAAACAATGCTACTTACTTGGATTTCAACTTCACGACGAAGGATATCCAATTTCAGGCTCAACTTCACAAAGAAGGGAATCGTGCACACAAGCATCATCCATCTTTAGATTGGATTTCAACTTCACGACGAAGGATATCCAACTCAAAGATTGAGTATCTGTCAACAAAGACCTTCGAGTTCGACTACGCTCAGCTACAAGGCACATCATTTACAGCATAACTCAAGGCTAGAAGGGTTATCTACCATCAAAATTGTCGAGTTCGATTCCATTCAGCTCGATGACACATCAATCGCACTACTTTCTGGTTGCAGTCGAGGTTTTCAAGTCGAGAAGAGGACCTGGGTTAACCGTGCCTTAGTGACAAGCAACCATTTTCAAGCAAAAGCTATCTGTCAATGAAGATTTCTGAGTTCGATTCCGATCCAAGGTCTTTAAACCGAGAAGAAGACCAAAGGGCAACTAGAAGCCACGTGCTGATTCAAATTCTGAACTACGGCTTCAATTTCATATCATTTCAAGATGAACTCGGCTTCACGACGGAGGAGTCATCCGTAACTCAATTCAACAGGGAGTTATTGAAACATCAGAGTCAATTTTCAACTCCACCGAATGAAAAGTGTGTCTTTTAATCTTTGCCCTATCCCCTTTACACGATTATGGGCAAAGAGGGGCAGCTGTCAACACACCTTTTCGTCCTACTAGAATTCAAACTCCTAAAAATAGGATAGAATTTTTCTAGGATTCAAACTCCTAAAAATAGGATTGAGTTCTACTATGATTTAAACTCCTAAAGATAAGATCCACAAGCACTATAAATAGCCATTGTAACTCACTATTGTAACACACGATTTACAAACAAAATACAGAGGAAAACACGGAAAATACAAAGGTAAAGCTATTGTAAACGATTCGAAAAGAAAATAAAAGATAGCATTTTTTTAATTCGTTCATTTCTCGCATGTGCACGTTATTTTTTTGAGATTTGGTTTGAATAACCCAAAACGTGGGTTGCGTTAATGACCAAAAATGGGTGAGGTTTTGAAGTTTCGAACTTAGATCTACCCTGAGGCGTGTTCATTTTTTATCCCCCTAATGCGTAATATCAACGTTAATTGTCTTTCAAATTTGGCCCCAATCTTTATTTTTCTTTATATTAGTCCTTTTATTTATTGTATAGATATTTATATTTATTTATTATTTACATTATTGTCATTATATAAATAAATATATATACGTATGTTTTTTTAAATGATTTTCAATTGATTTTTTTACACTATATATTATTATTATATATACATATATTTTTTATTTATTTATATTCATTTGGTTATTTTTTAATACTATATTTATTATTTTTATATATATATACTTTTTTTAAATATTTTACTTATAAGCGTATTACTATATATATATATATATTGTAATTATCTTTATTTAGTTTTTTTACTTTATCATTATATGTATATATGTATGTTTTTAATAGTTTATTTATAAGTCAATTATCATTATATGTATACTTTTATATTTGGTTTATATATTTATTTATTTTTGGTTTTGTTTTTTTATATTATATTATATTTTCATATTACTATTATTATTGTTATGATTATTATTTTATATTTTACTCATTTATATATATATATATATATATTAATATTTCATTTATTTATTTATTTATTTATCCTTTTATGTTTTTTTTACTTATTTTTATTCTTCATTTTTTTATTTATTCATTTTTCCCTCTAACACATCTTATGACTTTTTAAGGGTGTTTTCGTCAATTAATCAGAGGTAAGTAATTCATGATCAAATTTTATCTTTTAATTTAAAATTACAATTTTCTTAATTAAGACAACTGGAAATTACGTAGTACCGAAAGGGCGGTTCAAGGGTGCTAATCCTTCCTTGACTATAACCGACTCCCGAGCCCGACATATTTCTGGTAAGACGCAGATCAGGTAAGAAATAGGGTATCCGATCAACCCATTTATTTTTAAATAAATAATCGGTGGCGACTCCCAATCCATAATTTTCAAGTCGAAGCCCAATCTCGGGGCCCAACCGAAAGACGGTTGCGATAGAGACCTTTAGGGTTGTGTTACCCGAGTAACCACAACACGATTTCAGGCAGAGAACAAGTGGTTCTACTCCCTTGGTTGTTTTGAAAGGTTGGATTTCATCTGCCGATACACATGTTTGTGAAGAAACTGTTGAACACTTATAGGATGGCTTCGGTTAAGTTTATCGAAGTTTCTTGTTCCATCTTCATCGATTATCGTATCTCCTGTTAGCGGAGGTAGTGAGCGTCGTCAGTGACTGTGTTGTCCATTCCTTTTACTCTCAATAGAATGCCTCAAAAGATTTGTGTAGGCCTTTCATGTGAAGACATGCAGGGAGACGTGAGATATGTGAGTCAATTATAGATTGAAACAATCAGCAGAAACTGATCTTGGATCACTCCAAAAATATTAAGTTACTCGAAGAATTTTGTTTTACACAACAGTGGAGTAAGTCCGGTTAAAAGATGAGGACTGCTATCTCATTATTAAAAGGGAAATTTGCTTTGTTGAAGAAAGGTGGGGGTGGTTGTTTCAAAAGAGATTATTAATGGAAACGTTTTCTAATTTTAATTTGATAGAGATAATCCTAACGGGTTCAAGACTAGAGATGTTGTGAAGGGTGCAAGTGACCTCTGGATATTCAAGGTTGTGGGAATGTATAACCTTACGTGGGCACAAATAACCTTGAGGTAGGTCGTGAAGGCTGGTGATCAAGCCGGGCAGTTAAAAAGAATAGTAAACTACATAAATGACTACATAACTATGGTCCAGGTTACGAAATGACAATCATTTTTAAATTTGTGACAAATATACCATTGAACTATTTAAATAAGTTCAAAATGATCACACGACGTTAACATTTAACGGGTTGTTTGCATGGCAGCCAAAAAATTGGTATAATTAGGGCATGGGTCCTTGTAAAGTTACATATTTATGGAACTGGCACCCTACTTTGTTTTCTTCCATTTTTGTTACTACTTGTATATGATTTGTTTCCTTGGATTTTCATTTAATGCAATTTGATCCTAATTTTGTTTTTAATTTGTCTAATGCCTTAATTTGAGTATTAACTTTAAAATCTTTTATTCTAGTCATGTATTAAATTTGTAGATTAAATCCCATAGATTTTATAATTAATCAACTTGATCACCAAGATTTAACTTTAATTCTTAATTTTTAATTAGGTCCTAATTTCAATTTAATTTAATAAATTTATTTCTCCAATCAAATTGCGACACGTGTCAAAATCTTATGATTATAATTTGAATATTAAATATAATATATATATATATATATATATATATATATATATATATGTCGTTAATTATAAAATAATATTTATTATACTTTGAATATTAAATTATGTTTTAATGATTTCATATATATATATATATATATAATCATTAAAAATTAAATATGAAAACAGTAAATTTAGTTTAAAAAAATAAAATCTTAAATCAATTATAAATAAACTACTAGATTTATTTTAATGATTTAAGTGTGGTCATGTTCTCAATTAACTTAATATATGAAACATTAATTATATCATATTATTTATTAACTATATTATGCCAATTTTATCTCCCTAACATCATAATAATTTCATAATTAATAAAAATTATCTGACTTCACCATGAGCACTCCCCAACATAAGCAGCAAACTCATGTATATCAAAGTAAATATAGGAGAGGAAGAAGATGATTGTGAAAATATGTTTGAATTCATATTTTATTTGCTTGAAAAATGATCTCACATCTAGGTTCTTATCTTTTGTACGTTTTATAGTTTAGTCACTCTCTTTACTCCTTCGAAGTCCTACCACTAAGGATGTTCAAAATCGAGTACACATGTTTTCGAGTATCTGAAGTACTAGGTACTCGAAATTTTCGGATATCAAAATTTCAACTCGTGTCCTGGTCAATTACATCCGAGTACCCGTACTTTCGGGTCACATGTACCCGTATTTTTTTTATTTTTTTAATTGTCATATAAACACCTTCGTTAAATGTTAACGTCATGTAGTCACTCTGAACCTATTTAAATAATTCAGTGTTATATTTGTCACAATTTTAAAAGTGATGATCATTTCATGACCTGACCTATACTTATGTGGCCATTTATGTAGTTTACCCTAAAAAGAAATATTCATACATAAACCACGTGAAAATTTTATTCTACATTTTTAACTCAAAATATTCCCATAATTTTGTTCTACGTTTTTAACAAATATTAAAACTCCTTAAATCTTAAATAAATAAATAAAAACTATATAAATATTATTATTATTATTATTATTATTATTATTTTAATTAAAAATATGATATGCGTGTATACTTTTAAATTACTAATGAGTTTTTTCAAATCGAATATGAGATGATCCATTCCAGTTCATTAAAAACTAGAAGCAAATACACTAAAATCGATCAAATACACTAAAATCAAACGTCGATCGATATTTGACCAAATCAAACACGTGACTTATTATTTACCTACCTCATTTACAGCCTTAACGTCACTGAATGACATGTGAGACCCTAATCATAGGTTGAACTACACATTATGTATGATTTGATTTTTTTTCTAAATTCAAAAATAAATTTAAGAACGGATTTTAGGGGAAAACATATCAAGCATAAATTTCATAAATAAATTTTGTAAGTTGGATTTTACCTTTGAGCCCCCTGTTTTTTAAGTCTATTCCAACATAATAGCAGCCAGGTTGAATAAAAGCCAATGCAAAACATTCGCAAATAATATTATATAACGACGGGGAAAACGACCCTCGCTACTTCTTAACTGCATAAAGTGATGGGGATTTAAGAAACCAAAAGTACAAAATCCTACAACTTATAACACAAACTACCAACACAACCACCATGCGAGCGGATTTACCAAACGGAACATAGTTTCCTTCAGAGACGAACACAACATGAATATTTCCCCCTACAAATTGACAATTCGGAAAACCGTCCTACTTTGGTCCTGCAAATTTGCTCATCATCTTGGTAATTATTGGAGCCACCTTGGGATTTGCTTGATGCTTTGCTAGATTAGCAGGATTCTTCATCACTGCAAAGCCATTCAAAACATTCAATAAAACTGTCAACAGGCATTCATGTACGAAATTCTGTTGCATTGAAAACCTAGAATTTCACGAGAAAATACATTTCGGTTCCCAATCTCTATTGTGCATTGCATGCTTAAAAACCCCAAATGGTTTGAATGAACAGGTGAAATAACCCAACAATGTCGCACTCGAATGAACAGAAAGCATGCATTGAATATCTATCCAACACTGCTGATGCAAAGTCGCTCTAAGCATACAGATCGCCAAAAATGATGTCACCAAAGGAAAAGATAGCAGTGTGAACTATTCATACTTTGGTTTCCATCTAGTCATTTGATACAAACAACCAAGATCATGGATCATCCAAGCCTGAAGGTTGGCTGGCTTTATGGCAATAAAAGGAAACTTGCAAATTACCAAAAGCATTTTCGAAAATGCATAAACTGAAAAAATCAGGACAAAACTCCAGTAGTGACAAATTATTTACCAAGTTGCAACAAATTTTCCCTGATCAATTTTAGATTGACTAATCAAGATATCCAACACCAAAAAATATGTCAAGTGCATGTAAAGTCGGACATGATTATACTTCGGCACACAACATCTGTGATAATCTCAATAAAGCCTCGGCCAACTATTTGGAGTTCCCTATAAGAGACCCATTATGCTATGTATCCTGATAGAATAGTGTATCTGCTAAACACTACGTAGTATAGAAAACTAAGATCAGCTTAACCAAACATGTTCCCAAGTTTTCATGGCAAGCATAGACCAAGTTAACTGAAAATGACAAATGAAAGAATACTCCATAAATTGCAAATGTAGGAGGAGAGGAATGATGCATTAATGACTGCATGTATAAAATTAGTAAACGTAGTAAAATGCTTACCATCTTGAAGTGCAGCCATGACTTCTGGATCACTAAATGCTGACATCATTTCAGGATCCTGAAGACAATAAGATCAGAAACCGCATAAAAAAATTATAATAACAATTCACCTTCTCCAGATATTTAGCAAGCAAATATTAGTGCGTAAAATATATTTTTCTTATCATCCCAACCAAAAATAACGTGAAGAATATCTAAATCACGATAGCATATACAAGCATGACAGAGTTGATTGCTATAAAATTAAAAGGCAAGTTCCATAGTACATTAGTACTTACATTCAATATTTTGCTAAAATCAACATTTCCAGGCATCCCACCTGGCATGCCTCCAGGCATACCTGCAGGCATTCCTCCAGGAAAACCTCCGGGCATCCCACCAGGAAAACCTCCAGGCATCCCACCCGGGAACCCACCAGGCATGCCTCCAGGTTTTCTACTGGAGGATGATTGCTCCTGCTTCTTCGCCTTCTCATATTCAGCCTTGAGTATAATATAGAATGTAAGCAGAGTCAAAGAAGATAATAATAAGGCAATATTATCAGAGGATAAATGACTATTAAATTACCTGAGCTTGAGCACGACGACGACGTCTCTCACGCTCAATCTTTCTCTCTTCTCTCTCTTTGCGCAATCTATCATATTTCCGACGGTGTTCCTCAATGCGATGCGCATTGGGTTCAACCTGTTTAATCAATGAGCCAATGTGAGCTCTCAAAGTAGGAATTACAACAACAGGGGTCCTGTTGCTCATATTTAGTGATGCAGGTGCGGCCAAAAATGGCTACATTGGTGGCAGAGAATCACACTCCTATTTTATGCTAAATTGGGGAAAAGCTTGCTCCTAATGTTTCAGATTAGGATCAAATCACTCAATTAGAAATATAAAGGCAAGAGACCTTAGATAAGATAGGTTAACTCGTGCAAGCCTATTGTATAGAGCTCTGATGGTATGGGTAAACTCGTGCAAGCCTATTTACAGACATTCACTTTGTAGGGAAAGAGAAATAATCTGATGAATTTACAATAATACTACAGATGTACTAAATCACATGACAAGACGCATGGATTGAAAATTCCGAAGAGAAGGACATATAAAAGCAGACCTTCTTTAGTACACTGTTTATTTCGTCATCATAATCCAACTTTGATGCCATGTGCAGATCCTTTGCAGCATCTTCCCATTGCCCAAGCATTGCTCGTGCAATGCCACGAGACTTGTAGCCCTTAGCAGAATCTGGGTTAATCTGCAAGACATAAATGAGGATAATTAAAATAAATCTCCTTCTCCAATATGACCTTGCCATTTCCAAGATAACCAGAAAACACAAGGGAAAAAATACAGAACACAACATTGTTCGACATGAACCATTACATATAGTTTTTGAATGACCAAAATAAAGCAAGACACCTAGAACAAAAGATATACAATTACTGTGAAGCAATTTATCATACAAGGAGGTAAAAAACTGCATTCATACTAAGTCAAACAGCAATGCTTATACAAACCTCCAAAGCGGCATTGGCATCTCGAATAGCAGCATTGGGCTTTTTCATCTTAATGAAAACACTGGCTGAAAGGAGAAAAAACACCAAGCAGCTGAATCATTCTAACAAATATAAGAATCTAAAAAAAACGAAACGAAACAGAGCATCTGACTTGCTAAATAACAAATAAAAGTTGAAAGGGAGCATGACAGTCTAAATAACAAACACTAACCTCGTGTTCCATACATGATAGCCGATGTTGGATTCAGCAAAATCGCCTGTGTCAGATGGTCAATAGCTTCCTCTAAATTCCCTGCATTACAATGATTCAGCAAAATACAAATTCAATAAATAAATAAATATCAAGTTCTGATTTATTTGCCTTCAGAAATTGCCTCCATAGCTTTGAACTTAGCAGACTGCGAAGCATCACGGTTTTCATCGGTAACCTCCACCGAAGGGTCACCCATCTGCAAACACCAAAAAACAACAGACTGAGAAATAACTGAAATAAATTAAACCAGAAATAAAGTGTTAGATAGGATAATACCTTCTGCGGAGTATCATTATCAGGCTCAACCGTTTCACCTTCTAGCTCGATATCTGATTCAATAATCTCCTCTTCTTCCTCCTCCTCTTCTACATCAATTTTCTCACCTCCCTCCGCCATTTCCTCGTCACTTTCCTCCACCACATAACTCTTCTATAAACCAAAATCCCCATTTAGATTAGTAATTTTAGTTTTGCAGAAAAAAGGAACGAGAGAAATGCGGGAGTTAATTAGTGTTAGAACGGTTACCGATTTGGCCTCGCTGGCTCCATGGTTGTCAGATGAGGATGGAAGCTTTGCTCCAAGACTAACAGTGAGAGATTTTTCTTGTTATTAACGACTGAAACAAGGAGAGATTGAGAGTTGAAAATTGAAAATTGAAAATTGAAAATACCTTTCGATATAATCGCGGAAAAAGGAAAGGGAAGGATCATTGAGAACGGAAGGATTAGATTTGCAGAGCTGGATGAACTTCTTGAGCTCGCTCAATTTCGCCGGATCCATTGGGTTTTAATTTCTAGAGAGGTTGTTCGCTTAGGGGTTTTTGTTTATCTGTCACATATGAAATGCATCAACGGCGCCCAGCGCACATTAATAAATAACACTAATGCAGTGGATGAATCATCAGACGCTCTTCTTCTAGTACCTTCTACTAGGGATCGGATCGCCTTGTGTTCAATAATAAACAAGGGTAAACTACGCTTTTAACACTTACACTATTACTTTTGGTTCGTTTTAGTACTAAAATTTTCATTTTTTTCAAAACTATATTTGATGTTTAGATTTGTCGACATCATTTTTTTGCCTGTTAGGGTAAAAATAGCTCGACTTGAGAAAAATAATGGATTTTTGGAAAATATTTGTGAAATATTGATAGTCATCACAAACCATTTCAGGTAATTTTAATAAAATATTTTTATTTTATCAAAAATACCAAATTTTATTTGAAATTGCGTTTGGAAGTTATGCATGGGGAAAGATTAGCACCTCACAATGCCCAAAATTAGTATCTAATCGATTAACCTATATTTAAAAATTGAGAATTTTGAGTTCGATGTTTTTATTTAATTTGAAAATTATTATGCATGCAAACTTGGAAAATGATGTTGATTTTCCAAGACCAATAATGATCACCCTCAAGTATTTATGCGAAAAGCTTCGTTATTGATCTCAATTAATAAACATTGCCTTGAAGATTAAGAAATCATGATGCATGCTCTTTTTTTTTTAAATGATGTTGATTTACTTCGAGAATTATCTTTGGTCACCCCAGGCATTTATGCAAATGATACACTATTAGCTCACTAATAAATGAACATTGCCCTACTTTTGAAATTAAAATGCAATCAAACAATTCATTATTGAACATAGTAATACTAAGTGGATTAATTAAGACTTTTCTCTAACTTAAAGTGTCAAATTTTGAATTTTAAATGACCTAAATGATTAAACCTAAAAATATATGCTCTAATATTAACCTAAATAATTAAACCTAAAAATATAGGCCCTAATAGAAAGGTATTTCGAATTAATGAAAGACGTGACTAAATTAAAATTAATATACAATAATTCATCCAAATTAAAATAATTAATAAAACTCATATTGGGATGAAAATGTAAAATTACAGGTAAATATGAGGGACTATAATGTGGTTTTTCATTTTTAACTAGTAATTCAAAGCATGGAAAACAAAAGGGTAATTCGTGCAATAAGGCCATCAAATTCGAAATAAATAAAATGAACTTGAAATTAAGGATTATAATGTAAATATCTGACAAATGTTTGGGGACTTGATAGCAATTAAGTCTTAAACTCTTAGTATTTAAGGTTTTTTTATATTTGCTCATTTGTAACCCCAACTCTAATAAAAACACTCTCGTCCTTTGTTTTCTTTTTCGTCTCTCTCTTTCTCCTCTCATCCTCGCCATACGATACCACATCCTAAAACCTAAAGAACCGCCCGATCAGCCATCGCCCACGGTGGTCTGCGAAGCCAATAGTCACCCCTAAATGACCTAAACTCTTCGTTTTCCTCTTATAAACTTAGATCCGAGGCTAAATTCAAAAAACGGTGCCCCAAAAAACCCAAAAGCTTCCCTGACCCTTTGGTTTCTTTAACCTCCGGTGAGATCCCGGATGGCAAGGTTAAGCCGAAGAAACCCCCTCCGTTGGGTTCAGACTGCTCCGATAAGGTACAAAAGCACTCATTTTTCTTTTTTCTTTTTTTGTGTTTGAATATGAAAGTAAAACAATCGGAATGTTGAAATAATGAAACAAAGAAATACCTTCTGAAAATGTTGTGTGCTGCTTGTGGTTGTTTCGAATAGAAAAAGTAGAAGAGTCTTGTTTTCTATTGCTTTCGAATGGAGGGAGAGATCCCTCTATATGCATTTCAGAGAGGATTTTATAGAACCCCTTTAAATTATAAAAAAATAAAAATAAAATGGAAAAGCTTCCTCCTCCCTAAAAAATCTTTTTCTTTACAGATTATATCAAGAAAAGATGGTGTGAAGCTTGGTGATGGTTGGAGCGTTTGTTGCTGATCAGATAGGCTTGGCAGCAGCTATAGATGGCAGGCGATGGTGGCAACAGTTGGGGCATTGAATACCTCAGATATTAAGGTAGCATTTGGTTGGCATGAATCCTTGGAATTAGGGGGAATTGGAATTCAATTCTACCACTTTCTCATGTTTGGTTCAAGTTTTCTAAGGGAATTGGAATCCCTCATGACTTTAATTTTCCATGAGGGAAAGTGAATTCCATCTAAGAATGGATGGAATTCAATTCCCTTGTTGGAGGGAACTGAAATTTGACCATACTACAATCATCAATCTTTTGGTAACTTATTCATATATTGAATAAAAATATTTTTTATTATTTCGGGTCGGGTCGGGTTGGGTCGGGTGAAACTTTATTTTTGTCGGGTCGGGTCGAGTTCGGGTTTAGGGTGAAAAATACCCGACTCGAAAATATATATAATTTTACCTTATATATTTAGGAATAATTACAATAATACCCCTCTATATATAACTTTTGTCAATTAAGTCACTGTTTTTATTGAATAAAAATAATTTTTTACTATTTCGGGTCGGGTCGGATTTCTAATTCATATATTCGGGTTGGTTCGGGTGAAACTTTATTTTGGTCGGGTCGGGTTTAGGGTGAAAAATACCTGACCCAACCCAAAAAATATATAATTTTACCTTATATATTTAGGAATAATTACAATAATACCCCTTTATATATATATATATATATATATTCCAATTAAGTTACTGTTTTTATTGAATAAAAATAATTTTTTATTATTTCGGGTCGGGTTTCTAATTCATATATTCGGGTCGGGTCGGGTGAAACTTTGTTTTGGTCGGGTTGGGTCTCGGATGAAGGTTCCCTTATTCTCGGGTTGGGTCGGGTGGACCAAAAACCCGACCCAACCCGACCCATGGCCATCCCTAATTGGGATAATTTTAACTTATGATATTTATTAGCATGATTTTTATAATTTATTGAAATGAATAATCAATCAATAAAATTAAAATTTAATTTTTTTTAAATTTTTATAATATATTGCTACATGTAATTTATAAAACAATCTAAAATTAAGCAAAAAAACAAGAAGGGAAATCTTGTCATTTTACATTACTGAAATCAAATTCATCTGACATGTCTACGAACCAAACAGAATATGGAATTGGGGAATTGGATTCCAATTCAATTTCCTTCAAACCAAACAGAATATGGAATTGGATTCCAATTCCTGACAGATTTCAATTCCTTCATAGATTCCAATTCCCTCAAAAAAACATTCCAGCGAACCAAACGCCACCTAAGGGATTTTAGTCCCTTTTTTTTGTCTGACCCTTTTTTGTACTTATTATAATAATAATAATAATAATATAGTAAATATTTTTGGGATAAAAATGGTGATTACATGTTTTTGTTTCATTTTAATACCTTACATACAGTTAAAAACTTAACAGACAGACTTGTTGGTCGTTTTATCTATAGTCGTCGGTCATCACATTCGTCGGTCGATGAATCCTAAACTTTTCAGTCCGTATTATTTCTATCCCTCAACACGATTCCAATTTCTATTTCACCGGAAAATATCGCAATCTTCTTAAATCGACGATGGACTCTTCAATTTTTTCATCATTCGATCTCCATGGTCCACCGTTCGATGGGCCTGAAACTTGACTATGTTGGTTGAATCATCATTCTCTCGTGGTCTATCGTTTGTGATGATCATCCTTCCATCGGAATTATATTATGTCAGTCTGTCCGTTAAATTTTTAATGGTGAGGTACTAAAATAAAACAAAATTTAAAAGTTAAGTAAGTTTTTGAAAAAAAAATAAAAAAATTAATTACTAAAACAGATCAAAATCGATAATTTAGATACCAAACGTGTAATTTATCCTATAAACAAATGAAATTACTAAATAATGTTATTATATTTTTCACGGCCCACAGGGTTTATCTATCTAATAATCAAAAAAATAATTTCGTCAAATTATATATCTGAAAAATTTGAGTTCGTAATCTTGATTGTAAATCAAATTATTTAAATTTAAATATAGATATTCTAAAATAAATATTCTATTAAGAAATTAAAAACAATTCTTTGAATTGGATATTTTTTAAAGTTATAGATGAAAATAAAAGTTATACTACGACATATGATATATTTTTAAATAAATCCTATATATCCTTTTTATAAGAGAAAATAATCCCAGTGACCAAAAATCTCATATAATATACGATTTTAATCAACTTTTTTCGGATTTGTCAAAATGACCAACAAAATCGCAATGCGATCGCTAATTCGCAACGCGATCTCCATTATCGCAAATCAGTTTCCAGATTCGCAACGCGATTATGACTATCGCAATGCGATTTTCTAATTTCACGTTGCGATTTTCCCAATTCGCAATGCAAATAAGTAAATCGCAATGCGAATTTGGAAAATCGCAACGCGATACTAACTATCGCAACGCGATAATAAAAAATCGCAACGCGATACTGACTTTCGCAACGCGATACTTAATTTCGCAACGCAATACTGACTTTCGCAACGAGATAATACATAATCGCAATGCGATTTTCAAAGCACCATTAGTATCGCAAAGAGTATTTTATTTTCAAATTCCAAACACGAATATTAATATATTGGAACACTGAACCGTCCACAGTATATCTCGTAATCGCAACTCATAACCTAAAACCTAAAATCACAACTCAGTCACATCTCTATCTCTCACTCTCTCACCCATCTCCGACGAAATCCGTCCCCATCTCCGGCGAAATCCGTCTATCTCCATCTCTCAGAGCCACCCTCACAATCAGAAATGGAAAATCAACCAAATCAACCACCGAGGGTTAGTTTTTTTAATTATTTTCTTTTTGAAATTTTTGCATTATTATTAGGTTTTTCATATTGAAATTGATGATAAGTTTACTGGTAATTTCAATAATAGATTAACCATTTCACTTAGATTGCTTATTAAATCAACCGAGAATCGCAACGCGAAATGAAAATCACAACGACAAAATCGCAACGCGATTTT